GATGTCCAGAGGAATCGCTGCGACGTTCAATGAGAAGTTTGGGCGTGTCGGAGAACTACGCCGACAGGATCCAGAGGTTGGAAGCGTCTTGAGGCTAACCGACAATGCACATGGTCAAGCAAGGCACATCTTCTACCTGGTCACCAAGGAATGGTCCCCGAGTAAGCCGACTTATCTCAATCTATGGAAGACCCTGATTGAACTGAGAGAAGCCCTGCTAAACAACAACATTGCACGATTAGCCATTCCGAAGCTGGCGTGTGGACTCGATGGTTTGAGTTGGCGTACAATCCGGAACATGATTGAAGTCTTGTTCAGATTTACGGGAATCGAGATCCTCGTTTGCTGCTACAACCCAAAGCTGAGATCGGGAGAGAAAACTGTAGACTGCTATTTCTACCAGACTTCGCAATGTACCAGGGGCCAGCTTTGCAAATACCTTCATTCACCGTGTACATCTCGGGACGAGAATGTGCCTAAGAAGGGGGCAGTGTTGCGGACCCGTGTGAACTCGACCTAACCTAACTATATGTCCCGCCCTCAGATGACCTTAACATCGCATTAAAGAATAGACACGGTAATGATTCATTCGTTCGAGAAGAATCGAGTCCCACTGGAATGGACTAGTACATACGAGAACATTCGAAAACCTTCTCTACGCACCTAACGATCTATGGACTATTCTAGTGTTCTTTACCTGTCGGTATAAAAGCCGGCGGCTGTGGCCTACAGAAGGCAGTTATACAAGTGCAGTTGACGCGCTAAAATTCAAAATAAATTGTTAGTTATAAATCGGTTGTAAATAGTTCTATAAGTCTCTTATCGTTATTGTTTTTGTTAATTAGTGTTAAATAAATAGTGTTTAAATAAATTGTGACTTTCTATCCACACGGAACCGACAAAAAACGTAACAATATTCATAAAAAAATGCTTTTGCAAAATATGCTAATGAGTCACCCTTGTTCCATTTGAAAAAATTAACATATGTATGATTAAAAATACGATTTGTACATCTTTTAACCGGCCTAGACAAGACACGAAACCTGTTAGACGATCAAAACTATTTTTCCAAGGCTCCTTGATTAAAACTTAGTGTTTTTAACAACGCCATGGCACCCTGGATTGAAATTTAAAATACGATTTGTTTTTAAGCGACAATGTCAAAAGTTGACATATGATATGTCATTCTATTCAGAGTGTCATTTTTTATCGAATAAAGTAGCAATATACCCAGGGTGCCTTTAAAAATCAAAAGATGTAATCATTTCGGTGAAACAGGAAGAGACCAAAAACAATTGAATACGTCAATAAATCCTAATTTATGTCATATACCTACTAACGTACAAATCTGTTTTTTTTTATCTGAAAAAATAAAAAAGTTATAGGGGTGAGCCACTTTTGAGACGACCCGGTATATTAAAAAATATTGTTTCATAATGTAATATCATTTTAAAATTCTTGTATGTTATTTTAGATTCTGAAGATAATTTTAGAATAAACCGGAATATATTTAAAAAAAAAAACATTATTAATTATTAACAGAGTTATAATTATAAGTAAATAATGTAATGTAAAAGAAAAAATTCAGATTTTACATTTTACTAAAATATTATCTAAATAAGCGCTTTTCTACAACGCCACTGACTGCTAATGGGTAAATTGAGAGTTGCCTACCGGTCGAAAGTCGTTTCAAAACTTAAATGGATTATTTAAGTCAAATTTCTTGCAAATTTGGCACTGGCAAACCATATTTTATAGTTCTTGAACAGAAAAAGTCAATAAAATAAACACTTAAGAACTACAAGCTAAGAAAATGTGTTAATACAGCCGGGGAGATAGCGGCAACAAAGCTTTACCGCACACGTGCGACGCATACTACAAGGTAATAAATGAATGAATAGGCTCCTTCGCCTCTAATGGGTGTTGTCATATTGTATAGAACTTATCCTTTTTAAACAGTATCCGACTTATAACTTAGTAGTATAAGGACTATATAATACATCTATGGAATATTAAAGCCTACTTTATTAAACTGTAGTATTAATATCTCAATATATGTGTATAACAAGAAAAAAAATATTGATAATATTAAAGACGTGACAATATAGGCTGGATGAGGAAGGCTCGGTCGACTGTACCCAGAAGTAAACATGTGTACAAAAAACAGTGTTTGACCGCATTGAGATGTAAATAGTGTAGTCTATATTTTATTTTAAGTCTATGGCTGTTCCTCGGAAAGTATTAAGGATGATTCACGCTATACCGTGACGGGTCCGAGCCGTGCGTCGGTGAAGACACGGTCAAAGGCCAAACGTGGGCCAAACATTGTCAAGTGTTATTTACACATATACATTCATGCCAGGCCGAGCACGATCCGAGCTTCGCCGGAACTCGTCCGTGCCCCGTCACAGAAATGTCGGTGTACATTTTTTTCTCCGATCCGCTTCGTTCCCGCCACGTTGCGGAAAGCATATATGTACTTTTCCTGGTGTAGTAGGTAGTGAATTTAATGACAGGGAATGCATAAAACTGGACAGTGAAAGGATGTAATGAAAAAGATAGGTCCTTTATCTTGCCCTTTGAGCAGGTGTTGTTCTTTCTTCATCAACTGTAATTGGTACCAATTCCACTTGCGAGAACTTTGGCATTGTTCGTATTAAATCTTCGTATGGGGCTGTGTTTTATAATATACTCAGAACTAATACGAGCCCCGTTATTAACTCGGTGTTGCATAAACAGAAGGCCCGCCGCTCGGTGTCTACTTCACGGAACGTGTCCGGCTCATACACGGTCCGGTGTACTGTGAATCATCCTTTAGTCGTAGAGCCCGCGAAAAAGAAATTATATCTAAAGAGGTCATGAGAAATTATTGCTGGAAATTATTTCCAAGGTTGTAGAACGGCCGCTAGAGGACGCAACTGCTGCTGTGTCAAATAAGAAAATGACATTTTTACATAATTTTGCATAGAAAGGGAAAAATATAAATAACAGCTAGCGATGGGAACTATCGAATGAATTAGACTATCGAATGGTTAATGAATGAATGATTTCAACTATCGAATGGTTTTATTCGAATAAAATCATTCATTCATTTGTATACTAAAGCATATGTGACAACCTCGCCGTGCGACTAAATGGTTATCGTTGAGCCACGACTATCGAATGCTTTTGATAAATGAAATTTAGTATTCGTTTGATTTTTGTATGCGTCAGTGCATTATTAGTTCTTCCAAATTTTTATAACTTCGCCGTATAAATACTGTGCTATTTTTGCGTTTATTAAAATACTAAAATAGTAGTTATTTTTTAATTTTATTTATTGACGATTGTGTGCATGTGCAGGTGGTCAAAATTTTTCTGAAAATTTGTGTGGTTTTCGGTAGTCCGATCTTTCAATTATTTAACTTTATATGGTATATGGTCTATTTTTTAATGGGAAATTTTGAGAAGTAGCAATTTTTAAGAGAGATGAGATGAACTTACAATTAATTCTAAAAATACATATTTGTATTTTAGATGTTTTAATAATATGAATTAGTTGGAACTTAATAATCATATTTAAGTAATGTGGTTAAGTAAATGGTTATCGAACTCAAACTATGGGGTGAGAAAATTAAAATGAAAGTTTTACACGTGCCAAAAAAAAAACGATGTTTGTATTTTGTTTATGCTAATTCTCTTACATGTAGTTTTTTGCGAAGAAATATTTCATTTATTTTTTAAAGTAAATGCCAGTAAAAGTAAATATAATTTTTAAATAGTAATATAAAGTACCTAATATAAATAATTTTGATTTCTAAATTTTTATTTATATTTTCCTTCCATTACAGTGCATGCTTAGAAAATTAATAAATGTTTATATTTCATGAATATAAAATTTGTTGTTAATATAACAAATTAGTTCTGTAATTATTATTATTTAATAAACCAACGTTGCCACACACAAAAAATTTAGAGGCTATATTATTTTTAAATAGGATCTAATATAAATAATTTTGACATCTAATTTGTTGTTTATATTTTGCTACTATTTAAAAAAAAAATATTTATATTAAATGATTTTAAATTTTGTTGTTAATAGGTATAACAAATTATTACTGTTATTATTATTTATTAAACCAATCTTTGCTTAAAAACATTAAAAATCATTTTCCTACATCCAAAATAACAAGTATTATTGCAGTGTAACAACAGAATATTAATAAAAAAAATGAAGAATATATAGACATACTATCCCTAACTAACTAAAGCCAAACAATAATATTCTTTGCTAATATCAACTAATACCAAAATATGGCAACAGCGCCCTTCATAATGTATTTTCTGTGTAAATACTAGCACCTCAATAAAAAAAATAATGTGTCCTTATCTATATCTGACTCCGCAAAAAATCAAAGATGCCGGCTTCTTTCATAGCATTGCCACCGATCGCTGTCGGGCTTCTCGGAAAGAAACCTACGTCGCCGGGCGACAACTAAAATTCAGTTAATATTTTATTATAATCGATCCTGACGAATAAATGAATTTCATAAATGAATGAATTTTATAAATGAATGGTTTTTGCTGCCGAATTACTAGAATACAATATTTCAAGGCAGATGACGGATCTATTCGATAATTTTTATTCGAATAGCTTTCAACGAATGTTTTCTTACTAACTATCGAATTATTCGAATGAATTGCAACTATCGAATGTTTCGATAGTATTCATTCGATACTTCCCACTACTAATAACAGCGTTATAATCTTCAGTAAATTTCGATTTTTTTTGTTTGAACCATTTTGCCCTATTTACTAAAATTAAGTGGTGGGGGAAGGTTAAATCTATTTTTATGAGGTTTTTGTGACAGTAATATCACAGCTTAATTAATACTTACGATAATAAATATTAGTTTCGAAGGGTGGAAGATAATTCTCAACAGAAACGCATTCCATTAATACTAAGTTATTAATTAAGATATTTTTATAGTTTCATTCTTAATAATTAAAAATAATTTTAGGTGGTTTTTAGTTTTACTAAATTATTTTATGGTAGACCCGCTAAAGGAGTAATAACTAAACCTAGAGTGTCCCATTTAAAAAAAGGCAAAGCATTTTTTCGGGATGGAACCGAAGAAGACATAGATGAAGTCATTTATTGCACAGTTATTTTCCACGTGAAGTAATTTTATTTTATTCTATATTAATAAATTAGATTCGATTTTCATGTCATTTTCATATCTTCATCCTGAAATCTCTAAAGCATGCAGTTGTCATTTGTTTTTTTTTTCATATCGGGGTTTCCATACGTCCGGATTTACCCGGATATGTTCGGGTTTTTAAGTTCGGGTGTCCAAGGTGGGGGGGCATATTCGGAATTCGCCGACACATTAGCCGCCTGGATTAAAATTGATTTGAAAATTGAAAAGAATTTAAAATTATTTCCTTTAAACTCTATATCTAGAAGATTCCTCCTGTAGATATGGAGTTTTTTATGCAATTTTTGATAAGTAGGCTTTGAACGCCCCCAGCTGTAATGCAAAAAAATTCTAGCTGTGAGCAGCAATTAAAACGAAAATAATATTTACAATGAGAGATGCAGAATTTTATAACAATTTAAACTATATATTTATCAACATCAACACATTTAAATAAACTATATCTAGAATGTAGAATGTTTAGGAAGGGGGTTAATCACCGCGATCTTACAGATCTATTGAATGCCCCCCGTTCTTGAGTTATAAAAAATTATAATTCATCATACAGTCTCAGCGCTTTGACAAAGGCCAGTATCTGAGACGGCTCCACAGGGGCCAGCCCTTCATCCTCGACATCAGCCGTACCAAAGTTCATGACCGAACGGACGTCGGTCGTCTCGATGCACTCAGTGGTAAGGTGTTGTGTCCCATTTTCCCCACAGAATCTGCATTCGCCATTGTTTCTCAGCTTCAATCTAGTGAGGTGTTCGATGAGGAGACAGTGTCCTATTAGAAATCGTGACAATCCGAAGATTGTTTTTACTTAAATCAAGGAAAATCTTTGATTTTTCTGGGTCCTAAGTTCTGAGGAATTCTTTCGAAAAACTATTTCAAATAACAATAAAATACATAGCAAACCAAGACATGAGATTTTGTTACAGGTGTTCGACATATCGACCATTTTCTGTTATGGACAGACGGAAGCGTTTTTGAACATTTCTAGCGGAATTCATTCTCAGTGGGGGTGAAAGATTGGCAGTACATGTACATTTTTAACACAAGTGAGACACAACTCGATCCGGATTATGTCTGGATATTTGAGTCTCACTTGTCGGTTTTCCAAACACTGCTATGAATCCTATTTCATATCAAATATTAAAAATATTTAAAAATTGAGGAATTACAGGAAAAAAAATATTTAACCAAAAATTACATTTTCAAACATTATCATTTTGATATATAACATATCTCAGAAACTAAAAATGACCATACATATACCTTCTTCATTGATCTAGCTTAATTTTATTTTTCAGGTTACTATCCTGCGTACCCATTTTTAAGCAAAAACTGTGCAATAACTGTAGACGATGGCTGGGTGAAACCTTTGTACAAACAAATGATTAATATTGAACATCCTACGATGGCAATAGTGAATATCATGCTTGTTGTTTCTACTTTTACCTTGTATTCGATTCAGGTAAACTATAAAAAGAAGTGCCTTATTATTTTTTTCCATTTTAACTTTTTGTTTACTATAGATTCGATTTTACCTGGCTCTTCTAACAGGCCATTTTAAAGTATCGAAAGAAGAAATGTATGAAGATTTAAATCGGACAGTAAAGAAGAGAGAAGATAACGGATTGCCTAAAAAGATGACCCATATTCTAGCACAGGATCAACTAGATTACTGCGAACATCTGGCAGACATTGCTAATATAAGAAAAATTCCAAGAGTATATGGAAAAATGTTTGCTAAAATACTTTGTAACTTAGACAAAAAGTATGGTTTTAAAATTTTTGATGATGAAAATTATGAATTGGTACAGCTCGAATATACATCTATATAAAATATATGTACAGGGTGTCCCATTTTGGTTGGAATCATAGGTCGGTATCTCCGTTATTAGTAAAGATAGAAATATGTGGTTTGCACAAACCTGTGCCACTTTTTTGTCAAACGGAAGATGCTGTCAACAAAATTTTCATAGCCCTCTTCGTTTCTGAGCTACAGGGTCTTTTCGAAACTTATGCAATTTGGGACAGTCCCCGTATCTTCGTTATTATGGATGATATCGAGAAGGTGAAAACTGATTCTTGTAGAACTTTTTACGTAGAATACAGCGGCGTAGTCTATTTTTCCAAGGAAAAAATATTTTTGAAAATATGAACTAAACTTATGTTTTTTCAAATGGAACACCCTGTATATTTATAAATCATATGATCCGCCTTGCTATGAGCTTCTCAAAAATATATATCACTCTATATTTATTTTCACTATTTACGGAAATATTTAAAATATATCGTTTTCTTATTATTAGGCCGTGATAAATAACAAAAAATCAAAAATAATATTTACTAAAATTGTCATACACTTATTAAAATTTTGTTTGGAATTGATATATTTTACTTTTGAACTGTTAACACTCAATCTCTGAATATATTTTTCTTTTAACGGAATTAATTATAACGGGATGGGTTTGCAAATATCTAAAAGCTTGCATTAATAAAGAATTTTCCAGGTGAGAACATTGTGTTAGTTGCCGCGATATATTTCAAATTTCAAAAATCCCCAAAATCAGAAATCGAGAAAGGACAACTCCAGGGAGGCCATCATATGGGTTCATATGATGGCCTCCATTGGTTTCTCAATTATTCATTGATTTGAGAAATAATAATTTAACAAAATTCTAATATTTTCGATGTAAGTTAAGGGGAGGTTCCATCTTTGTGGGGGGGGGGGGTGAAAGTATATTTCACGTAAATTAGCTAAAGGAATATTTAAAAGTTCCGGTACGATAGCTTCCAAGATTTACAAATAGCGGTAGAAAGTTAAGTTTCCCTAATGTATAAAGAATTTATTAGTGGCTCTCAAAATAAAACAAGAGACAGATAGCAGTATACTTTTAATAATTCTTTAGTTTCCTTTATTATCAATCATGGACTACTAATAAATATGATCTTTTAATATATTTTTGAAATATTGCAGTAAATATTGAAAATAAATATGGAGTGATATATATTTTTCAGAAGCTTATGGCAAGTCAGATCATATAATTTATAAATATACAGGGTGTTCCATTTAAGAAAGCATAACTTTAATTCATATCTTTAAAAATGTTATTTTCGTAGAATAACCGACTACGCCACTGTATTCTACGTAAAGAGTTCTACAATAAACAGGTTTCACCTTCTCGATACCTTTTACAATAACAGAGATACCGGGGGTGTCCCAAATTGCAAAATTTTCAGAAAGACCCTGTAGCTCAGAAACGAAGAGGGCTATGAACATTTTGTTTACGGCATCTTTTGTTTGACAAAAAAATGGCACAGGTTTGTGCAAACCGCACCCTTCTATCCTCACGAATAACGGAGATACCATATGATTTCAATCAAAATGGGACACCCTGTACATAAAAAAAAGATAACAAATAAACTAAAAAAGAATAAACTAGTTTCAATATCATTACATACAATATAAAGCCATTTAAAACCAAAAGATTTTATGCAACTGTATTGATCATACAAAATACTAAATACATTATTATGTACTTTGTAATAGACCTTTGGTAATGGTCCCGCAACACAGTCCTTCCACTATAAAAAGTCGTGAGATCTCAATGGAAAATGATTTCGGCAATTCCAGCCATCATCAGACCTTAAAAATAGATATAAATAATAAAAGTCATATGAATATACAGGGTGGCGCCTCTCATACGCCGCGGAAGATCCAAAGAGAACGGTAGTGACGGTAGTTTATTATATCGAAATGAAATGTTGGCAGCATATGTAGGTTAACTGAAAGCATTTTATAAAATTATATAGAATTATGCAGGGTGTCCCCAAAAAAAGTTACACATCAAAGTTGTGTTTTTTTCTATTCTTTTCTATCTATATTTTTTCTTTCTTGAAACACCCTATATCTTAATTGATTTTCGGATTCTACGAAAAAAAACTCTAAAGGTGAGTTTTATTAAAGAAGCATATACCTAAAATCTAAGGATTTTGACATATTTCACATTTTGTGAAAATGAAGAGTAAATTTTAAATTTCGATAATAGCTACCTAAATTTTAGTTGGCCTTGAATAGCCTGATATTTAATTATGGTAACCATTTTATGTTAAACCAAATTGATATTTGACCCGAAAAGTTATACAGGGTGAGACAAAATTAACATGGAACATTAGTAACTTTTAAAAGCAAGATCCGAAAATCAATTAATATATAGGGTGTTTCATTACAAAAAACACAACTTTGATATGTAGCTTTTTTTGGGGATACCCTGTAGAACTCTCTATATTTTTAAAAAGTGCTCTGAATTTTTCTACATATGCTCACAAAATTTCATTTCAATACAAACCTGTCGTTATCCTTGGAGCCTCCGCGGCCCCGGCGTATGAGAGGCGCCATGCCACCCTGTACAGGGTGTTCCTTAATGACATGCTAATATTTGAGGAGGTGATTCTTGGATCTATTCTAAGAGAAAAAATTCATATGAATGTATGTCCTAAACATCATAATTCCTGAGATACAGGGTGGTAAAATTTGTTTTTTTTTTGCAATAACTCTGATTTTATTATAGATATCTTTATGAAACTTGATACACATCTTCTATGCATCAAAATACCTTTTTTGATGTACACAGAATTTTCTTTATTTCAACCAGTGCCGTCCATACGGGTTTTACATTGAAAATTTATGAAAAAAAAGCGGTACCCCACTGACTTAAAAATAAAAATTATTTCAAAATCTCCGTTCATTTCTAAACATTTTTTAGCTCATAATTTTTTTCGTCTGACGCATAGTTTATGCTTAAAAAAATTAAAGTCAGTCTACTTCGGGGTCAAATCGTTGAAAATCTGATGCGGTGACATCTGCATCTGCTGAAAGAAAATTAAAAAATAAAACATTTTTTTGTATGTCAAAATAAGCATTTTGATGTATGTATGACGTGTATCAAATCTAATAATATCAGAGATATTTTGAAAATAAAATTAGAATATTTTACCAACCTGTATCTGAAAAGTTAAGATGTTGACATATGTTCATATGCAGTTTTTTTCTTAGAATAGGTCCAAGAATCACCTCCTTAAATATTAGCATGTCATTAAAGGAACACCCTGTATATCTCCTGAAACGTAAAGCATTTTTTGTCGGTTTAAATTCATTTTTTTTGTATTAAATCTAATTTCAAATAAAATCAAATAAATCATTATTTAACTTAGTGTTTGAAACGCTATTGTAAAGGTTTTAATCTCGGTTTTAATATAGTGTTTGCACTGATTATATATAACTTAACTAATTCTGTTTCGAAAGTTCAAGTACCTCTAAAATTAATTTAAAGTCTGCAAACAACAATTTGACTACATATGTTTATTTTGATTAATGTTTCCATGATTTTATATACAGAGTGCTACAAATTCGGGATACGAGAATTGGTACTCGGAAACCGTAATAGATATGAAGATGGTTAAATAGGGTTAAAGTTGCGCCTTGGGATGTTCACCAAGAAGCTACCAAAAAATTTTAAAAATTTCAAAATTTCTGAGTTTCTTGGAAGAAATGGAATTTGCCTTCCGGTTTCAACAATATGGGAGGAATCAGCAACTATGAACTAACATAATCAGCAATTATGAACTAGATCCTAAAAAAAGATATAGGGAAGCAAACAAGGCACCAGGCACCATTTGCAACCTGGTAAAGCAGTAGCTAGGCTTCATCCGTACGGGAGGAATCAGAAACTAGGAACTAGTGATCCTGAAAAAAGATATAGGGAAGCAAACAAGGCACGAGGCACCATTTGCAACCTGATAAAGCTACTGTTTTATCAGGATTTTTTAGCAGTGAGCTACTGCTCACTGCTTTACCTAGGTGCCTCGTGCCTCGTTTGCTTCCCTTTATCTTTTTTCAGAATCACCAGTTTTGCTGATTCCTCCCCTATTGATGAAGTCGGAATGCAGAAACACTAAATGTCTACGGGTAGTCATATTTTAGTTATGCTTTCATGGCTAATCTTAATGTAGGTTTTGCCCGATAGTTTCGTTTTTCTTTTTTAAAATAAATTTAATATAAACAATCAAATTATTTACCCGAAAGATGAATTGGAAATGGGAAAGCAGTATAATGGCCAGCGAGGTTCCTGGACCTGTCTCCAAGGTGCTGGGGTGGGGGCATTGCTTGACGTTATTTGTAGAAATTAAATCAATACATCCCAACAATTACAACAAAGAGTACAAAATCCATTCGGAAGTATAAGAAGAAGATCTGTTTAAAGAGCTATTAATAAAATTGAATGAAATATAAATTTGTGCAATAGGGAGGGTGTTTCGAACATGTAGAACATTAGAAATAACTACGATTAATATAATGCATATATTAGATCGTACACTGAGATTTCAAATTCACAATAAAAAAAAAATAAAAATAATATATTTAAATTGCTGAAATGGATATTATTTATCTGAATCTTTCAATTGGCCCGATTTTCCTTATTCAATGTTAATTAGCGCTGATCAATATTATTGCGATGAATATAATCAGATTATAATTATATAAAATATAATCAAATTATATTAATTTAAAAAAATCGGAGTCGGACTTGAAATTGTTTTAAATAATAATTAATAGTTTTGTTCTTGTTAAGGTACCCAAAACAAAAAAAAGAAGTATAAAGTGTGGCATATCAATGTAGTCGGGAGACCGAGTACTTTCAAAACCTGAAATAAAAAATGTAGGTCCGTATTTAAAAAAATTAAGTGGGCCTCTGTATCTTACATATTATCAGATAATTTGAAAATTCAAAAATACCATCAGATAGCCCTAATAAAGTGGCTATGAGAATGTGTAATTACTTTTTTGATTTTCTGAAAAGTAACGACAGGAAAAAATAAAATTGATTTTCAAAAAATATCCGTTTTTTCCAAAAACTCAGCAATCCTTGAAATTTTAAAACTTTTTTGATGCCATCTTCGTATCTATTACCATCATTCATATACTTAACCATCTTCGTATCTATTACGGTTTCCGAGATATCAATGCTCGTACCTCGAATTTGTAGCACCCTGTATATCACTTTGCTTCCTTATATCTATATATTTAGATTTCTTCGTAGTTAGGTGTGTAGTTAAATGTCATATTACGAGACTACTGCCAGACGTCTACTGGATCTAAAAGTGCGTAAAAAAAGTTAGAAAATGTTTTTAAATTGAATGTTATAAATTTAGAATAGTTTTTATTTTATAATTAATCCATGGATAATATTCATAAAAATTAATATCCATAAAACTTTTGTGATTCGTTTTATGTAATATTGCTATTTTAGTCGCCCTATATAACCAAAAACGGTAAGGGTAACTCGAAATCGAAAAACAATGACAAAGAAACCATTTAAAAAAAAGAAATCATCTCCTGAATTTTTATCCACTCTGTATATAGTATAGAGGTAATCTAATGTACTATATTAAATATTTAATTTAGGCTATTTTTTAACAAAAAAATGTTATTGTAATCTAATATAATTTTATTACACATTCTTCTAAAAATATATAAACATATGTATATATTTACATATAATATTATGTAAAAAAAATTGTATATAAAAATATAAATTCTTTATACAGCAAATAATTGTAAAATTATATGCCAGTAGATTTAGTCTAAAGTATGTCCAACGAGAAAAGGGAAGATTTCGACTGACAGCAAAAAAATGACATAAAATAAATTTATTGTTGAATTTAAATGACAGACAACAACTGTCACTGAGATACCTTCTCTTGTCGGCCAGACTATACATCTCGCTTGTACATTCAATAATACTCTACAAATTCGTGGTCATTTAGTATCTTGTATCTCTTATTAATGTCCCTACTGTTCCCCAAATGCTCGTAGAGATTTTGAATGACCGGTCTCACTCGTTTAATGCCCAGAGTGTCTGCTAAATTGTCTGTGTACCCACGATAGAGTTTCATTGCTATTTCATGGACACGGTGTTGAGGCAAAGCTTGTTCTTTCCTTATCTCTATGTTCTTCAAAATATCTTGTTTCATTTCTTCTTGCGAAAATCGGTTTGTATTTTTGAGGAATTCAAGGAAAAATCGAATCTGTAAATTACAATATGCCATTTAGTTGTGTGCAGTAAATATATTTAGCACTTTTATTAGTATCTATTTATGAAAAACGTTTACCAAATTTTTTGTAATTATTGCTACTTTATTAATACAACATGACTTTGCTTGGAAATGTTAATAATATTAACCTTCTCTATTCACATTTCACATGTTTCAAAAATATAGAGAAGACTACGCATTTTATGTACAGGGTGTCCCATTTTGGTTCAAATCATATGATATCTCCGTTATTAGTGAAGTTAGAAGAGTGCAGTTTGGACAAACATGTCCCACTTTTTTTGCCAAACGGAAGATGCCAAAGTACACAAAATTTTCATAGCGCTCTTCGTTTCTGAGCTACAGGGTCTTTTTGAAAATTTTGCAATGTGGGACAGCCCTCGCATCTCCGTTATTGTGGATGATATCGAGAAGGTGAAAACTGATCCTTGTAGAACTTTTTACGTAGAATAAAGTGGCGTAGTCTGTTTTTCTACGGAAAAATATTTTTGAAAATATGAACTAAAGTTATGTTTTTTCAAATGAAACACCCTGTATATTTATAAATCATATGATCCGTCTTGCTATGAACTTCTCAAATATATATACTAAGGGTCGGCATTTCTGGTTTTGGGTGCCGGTTTTCATGTGTACGGTCAACCACGCTTAGTAAAATAAGATGTACTGAAATAATAATTTAACAAAAATTTGAGAAATAATAATTTAACAAAATTGTAATTTTTTCAAAGTTGTTAGGGAAAGCCCCATCTTGCTGAAAGTATATTTCACGTAAATTAGCTAAATGAATATCTAAAAGCTCCGGTACGATAACTTCCAAGATTTGCAAATAGCGGTAGAGGTAGAGAGTTAAGTTTTCCTAATATATAAAACAATTATTAGCGGCCCCTAAAATAAAACAAGGGACAGATAGCAGTGTACTTTTAATAATTCTTTATTTTTTTTTATTATCAATCATGACCTACTAATAAATATGATATTTGAATAAAAACTTTTAAATATTGCAGTAAATAGTGATAATAAATATAGAGTAATATATATTTTTGAGAAGCTTATGGCAAGCCAAATCATATAATTTATAAATATACAGGGTGTTCCATTAAAAAAACATAACTTTAGTTTATATCTTCGAAAATGTTATTTTCGTAGAATAACAGACTACGCTACTATATTCTCCGTAAAAAGTTCTACAATAAGCAGTTTTCACCTTCTCGACACCTTTATCCAAAGCTTTAGCAATAACAGAGATACGGGGGGTGTCCCAAATTGCAAAATTTTCAAAAAGACCCTGTAGCTCAGAAACAAAGAGGGCTATGAAAATTTTGTTTACAGCATCTTTCGTTTGACAAAAAAGTGGGACAGGTCTGTGCAAACCGCATCCTTCTATCTTCACTAATAACGGATATACCGTATGATTTCAACAAAAATGGGACACGCCGTACTTATTATAATTTACAAATAAATATACGAATGAATTATTTTCAATATTCTGAAGATTATTTACCTGTATATCGACTGTTGGAAACAGCAAATGTAAAGTAATTCCTATAAATCCCATGGTAGGATGTTGAATATTGATTATATGTTTATATAAATATTTTACCCAATTATTTTCGATCTCTATGCCACATTTTGGAGTCAAAAATGGATAGGAGTATAAATAACCTAAAATATAGATAGACCTACATATTTATACTTAATTTATATTACATGAAAAGTTTAATTTTGCGTGTTTCATTAAAAAAATAACATAATGTATGTAGTTTCTTCTTATGGATAAGAAAATTGGGGTGTTTCAAGTTTCTTCTTGCAGATGTGTCAATTTTAAATTGATACGTTTATTGCAAATGATTTAAGAAGACCCAGAAATCGTGTAATTTGTAATAAAGAAACCTATATCCAAGAAAATCACAAATGAAATATTTTAATTTTAAATATCTACTTATATTGATATGTTATAACACCACATTTAGGTATACATTATTGTAGAATGTAGTCTGTAAATCATTTTTGTTTGAATTTTTCAAACATCAAATAAAATCATATAAAATAGTACTGTCCATAGCAAATTCAAAAAATCAAGGTAAAATGTTAAAAAAATACATTCTCCAGAAGTATCCTTTTCAAAAATTATAATCACTTGCAACTTGAAAACTGAAGCTTCCATCTAGTAAAGCTGTACGCACACTGGCGCGATCACGATCACGATCAGGGCAGCAATAATATGAGCGATCGTTCTAGCACACACCAACGCGTTCACGTTCACCGCCGCACCTATATGTAGTGAGCTATCCTGTAGGAATGATCGCTCATGTTATCGTTGTCCTGATCGTGATCGTGATAGCGACCGTGATCGCTCCAGTGTGCGTGTAGCTTAAATCAATTCATCTTTGGCAGTAGCTTATCATGGCCTACTACAAAGAACTATACACCTACAGGCTAGCGCACTGACATAGAAAGGGTTTTGGGGTTTCTTCTTGTGATCTATTAAATTGGCAATGCCTTGTTAGGTAGACTTACTACAATTGTGACAGTTTTTGTTTTTACTTTTATCATACCTGCTATAAATCTGGCGAGTGTTCCACTAGGAAGTGTTCTGCCTCTCTATCTGGTGAGTTTACGCATAATTCTAGAGATAACAAATCTCACCACTATTTTGTGGTCATTTCCATTCAGTAATAGAAACTTACCAGTACAATATATAATTTCGTCGATCACTTCTTCACTACCATCTTCGAAGACAGCGGTGTTGGCGGTTAATTTCTTAACTATAGGTTTGTGTAATACATAATCTTCAGCCTTACAAAATATTCTACCGCCATAACTGATATAAACCTAAAAATAAATAAAAATTCTTAAGAATGGTGTCTTATCTATATGTACAAGTTAAGTACAAGACATTATTAAATACTTATGTGTACAAGATACTGGAATATTTTTGTTATAAAAATTCGGCGTTTGACATTTTAAGGAAATTGATGGTGTAAAAAAATAACTTTATAGAGTTAATTATTAACTACGAATAAATTACGATTTTGTGAATAAATAATACAATACACATTCTTTTTTGTTAATGTGTCCATGCTGAATTTCTTCTATACCCTATCAAGGGTGAATTAATTAAAAGGGATTGTGGTCAAACCGTAGGTTATAAACCAATGGCGGGCGGACGCCATTGGTTTATAATTTATAACAATAGAGTCATATTTTTAGTCATAACGTTTTGATCATGTTTCTCATAATTATACTGAATTGTCTTGTCTAAAACTGTCAAGCCTTACTGAGTATCACACATTAGTTCTTATTCACAAAATAATAACAACTTCAAAGCCACAATATTTGAAGGAGAAATTTATTTGTAGACACGAACTTCATAATTTGAATATTAGACATAGATCTCTATTGTACACTGTGCAACATCGACAACCTTTTTTCATCGCTGTTTTAGTACTGCGCCTAAATTTTTTAATAATATTTCTAATGATGTCATACAATTATCAGTGGCCGGATTTCGAAAAAAAAATTAAAGCGTTACATATAGGCAGATAATTATATTAATTATTACTTCCATTGCATGTGTCTTTTTTGGTATTATTATTGTTTTTTGCTCTCTCGATTGAAATCTCAATTTCTGAATATTGTATTTTATTTTCTTTTTAGTTTTTATAATTCCACTTTTTGTAATTTTTATTATATATTATTATTTGTAATAGAAAATCAATCAAACTTAGTAGTAGTTGTTGATTATTTATGTGTGATATCTAACATCTGTTAAGTACAAGTGGTTAAGTGTAAGAATAGCTAAGCTAAACTTCGCCACTCTACTTAATACTTAATACATTTACTTAATGCATTTTGCATTTGCATTACTTATAATATGTTTTTTTTGCCAGAAATAAAGACGATTTTATTATTATTATTATTATATTTTAATGACACTTTCCATACCTACAATACTGGCGATGTGTAATGATGATTATAATCTGTTGTTTAAAATTATAAAAAGTGAAGTGATAATTTACTTTACTTTTTGTAATTAACAATTTTATAAATAACAGTACATTATAAACTGTATTGTAGGTATGAAAAGTGTAATTAAAATAGAACTCGCAAGAAATAGTAATAAAAATTATCGTTCATGAGGATTAAACTGTCAGTATTTCATAGTTAGTTCATATTCTTATCTTACACGTAGTGTATCAGTTCGAATATTAAATATGTTTTGTCCAAAACTTCAAAAAATAACGGCTTTAAGCTTAAATGAAAAGATCATCATTAGGCATGTATATCAGTCTCAAAATATATAAAAAATAATAGTTATTAGATATTTTAAACAAAGAAAATTACCCCTTGATTTAATTTCCTAAATAGAAAATGCCATTGACAATTACTGGGGCCTGATAATTGATAATTAAGTAAATATTTGCTTCCATTTATACTGTTTATAGTTGGCGTATACCTATGGTTACAAACTGCTTTATAACAATTGAACACATATTGTCCTTGTTTGCCAGTTGAATAAAAAATTACTTATTAAGATTCGGAGGCCCCCTATAAGCCGGGAACCCGGGGCGGACAGCCCCTTTCGCCCCCCTCCCCCCTTAGTCCGCCACTGATTACCACGACGAATTCCAAGTTGTAGAATCGTTAAGTATATCATTAGGTTCAAATGATATGTCAGATTTTAGTTACCAAACTAGGCCAAGTGTTTATCTAACTTTTTAAATAATGTTGTCTGGTTGTTCTTTTTCTGGAAACGTTTGTAAATACTTTTGTGATGTTCTTGCGCCATATCAGCCTAATTTGTTAAAAAATTACCGTCGCGTTTTTACGTCAAAAACCAAAACTGTTTATTGAAAAAAAGATTTTTACAAGTTATTATCGTATCAAAGCCACTCTAACTTGTTACAGTAAACGTATCTAATTAGGTGTGTAAAAATGTAATTTGGCGCCTATAAGAAAAATGAAGTTGATGATGATGGTCAAAAAACGAATCATTGGCTGACAAATCCGAAGTCACCCTTGTGGAGCTGGAAAAAAATGGTAATAAAATTGTATTTTTAGTTTTAAGATACCTTGTCAAGGAACGTCAGAAAAAAATAAAATCGAAATATTCAATTTTCGGTTTTTCTCGAATATCAACTTTGCTTGGAATTTTAGATGTTTATAAACGGAATATTATTAGCTACATTAATGCACAACTTTGACCCAATTTAACCATCCTAGTATCTACTGTAGTTTTCGAGATCGCAATGGTGGGGGACGAATTTTAATTACCCTGTATAACTTTTATTTGATACTTTAACAACAAAATAGTCTGTTCTCACAAGAAGTAAACCCTTCTGGTGATAACTACTGTAGGTTCAATAAAAAGTAACTTACTTTTTCAGCTACTTCACCAATGATTCTTGAGATGTCTACACCTGAAGGTCCTGCACCAATTACTAAAACTGTTTTTCCCTTGTATGAGTCTGACTTTCTGTAGTTGTGACTGTGAATAGCCCCACCTGTGAACTCATTCGCTCCAGGAATCTTGGGAATGTTTGGTGTAGAATAATTTCCTACACAAATCATCACAGCATCGAAAATATGCTCAGAGATTTCCTGTGATTTAAGATGCTTTTCTTTAATTTTCCATTTTTCGTTAGGTAGTGGATCGATCTCAAGGATATGCCTTAAAAGCTGACATAAATTAGTTATAGTAAGACTTTCATATTTACAAACTGATTTTAAAAATTAACGTAACTAATTAGCTGTTGAAACTACAGATATTACCTTGATATGGGGATGGAGATTATGATGCGTAGCAAACCTATTTATATAGTCCAAAACATCTGGTTGAGTTATGTAAGATTTTAAATTTACATCATAAGGAAAATTCTGATATTCCATCACTTCCTTTGGCAGGTTAGTTCTGAAAATTAGTAGGTAATTACAAAAACGAGTATAAACGTATAATATATTATAGTATTGTTATTTGTTATATACAGGGTGCTACAAATTCGAGGTACGAGCATTGGTATCTCGGTAACCCTAATAGATACGAAGATGGTTAAATTGGGACAAAGTTGCGTCTTGGGATGTTCACCAAAATGCCATTAAAAAAGTTTTAAAATTTTCAAGGATTGCTGAGTTTTTTGGAAAAAACGGATTTTTTTGAAAATCAATTTTATTTTTTCCTGTCGTTGGTTTTTAGAAAATCACAAAACTAATTGCACATTCTCATGGCCACTTTATTAGGGCTATCGTATGGGGATAGTATGTTTAGATTTTCAAATTAGCTTATAATTTGTGAGATACAGAGGCTGACTTATTTTTTTTAAATACGGACCTGCATTTTTTATTTCAGATTTTGAAAGAACTCGGTCTCCTGAGTACAATGATATGCCACACTTTATATTTTTTTTTATTTCGGACATTTGAACACAAAATTTATTTACACTAATTCCAAGTCCGGCTCTGTTTTTTAAATATTTAAATTATTAATCGTTACAATATTGATAAGCCTTCAAACTTAACTATGACGTGGGGTCATTGACATTGAATACGAAAAATCAATTCAATAAAAAAATAATTGCATTTGACGTCATTTGTAAAAGCGAAATCAATATTTTTCAACATTTACAATAAAGAGTATAAATGCATTCGGAAGTATAAGAAGAAGATGTTCAAAGAGCTATAAATAAAATTGAAAGAATAATAAATTTGTGCAATAGGCAAGGTGGTAACGGTGGTAATCCTTTCGAACATGTAGAGCATTAGAAACTATTTTGTAGAAGGTGGTTTATTTATAATAACTACGATTAATATCATGCATATTGTTAGATCGTAGACTGAGAATTTCAAATTCACAATAAAAAAAGTTAAAAATAATATCTTTAAATTGCTGAGCTGGATATTATTTATTTGAATCTTTCAGTTGGCTCGATTTTCCTTATTTAATGTTAATTAGCGCTGATCAATATTGTGGCAATGAATATGTAATCAGATTAAATATTTTAAGAAATTAGGGTCGGACTTGAAAATATTTTAAATAATAATTAAATAGTTTTGTTGTTGTTAAGGTACCCAAAACAAAAAAAAAAGTATAAAGTGTGGCATACCATTGTACTCAGGAGACCGAGTTCTTTCAAATATTGAAATAAAAAATGCAGGTCCGTATTTAAAAAAATTAAGTCGGCCTCTGAATCTCACAAATTATCAGCTAATTTGAAAATCTAAAAATACCGTCAGATAGCCCTAATAAAGTGGCTATGAGAATATGCAATTAGTTTTTTGATTTTCTAAAAAGCAACAACAGGAAAAAATAAAATTGAATTTCAACGAAATTCGTTTTTTCCAAAAAACTTAGCAATCCTTGAAATTTTAAAAACTTTTTTGATATCATCGTGGTGAACATCCCAAGGCGCAACTTTGCTCCAACTTAACCATCTTCGTATATATTACGGTTTCCGAGATACCAATGCTCGTACCTCGAATTTGTAGCACCCTGTATATACCCAAAAAGCCTATAAATAGTATATTGAATTTGGGTAAACACCATTATACCCAGTATATACCCAATCATACCCACGTTTTTAATTTAAGGTATTCTAACAATTTGTTTTTAAATTTTCATTTCATGACTAATATCGCTATTAAAAAATAGGGATTGATTGTAGAAGGGTGAAAATTTAGTTGTATGTATTTTTTAATGCCAAATCATAAAAATAAAAATTAAAAATTTTGTTCAAAAAATAAAAAAAATAAATAAACTGGGGTGTGATCGGTCAAGTCATTTCCTCGACTGTTTCGAAGGAGTAAGGTAACAAAAATTAAAAAAAAACAACCCCTATTAAAAATAGGGGTTGACGGTAGAAGGATGGAAATTTAGGGTTGTATGTATTTTTTAATGCCAAAACAAATAGTCCAACAAAATAGGCCACCCTTATCATTTACGAGTAAAAAATATCGAAAACAACCTAGTCTCAGACCCACTAATTACACAGAACAGATACAAATCAGAAATTTCACTTATGGGATTTCCGTTGTCAAGATTTTATTTTTTATGTTATATGCGCGCAGGCGGCACAAAACCATGCGCAAGGTTTTTGTGAGGTTGCCAAGGTAACCCATAATTCTCAGTACTTGAAAAATGTATTTTTATATTATAATCCCACGGCCACATTTCTTCACTCATTTAGCATTTCTTTCGTTTTTATTCGATCATACGGTATAATACCGTATGATCGAAAAAAAAACGGCGTCCAGTTGGCTGGGAAACAACGATCGATGACTTTCCCATATAAATTTACATATAAAATGACAGCGATCTTCATTTCAAAGCCAACGCTGACGCCGTTCTTTCTCGATCATACGGTATCATACTGCCACAAAACCCACCTTGTCCGAATTATTTTTGTGATTATTCTCTTTGAAAATTAAATATTAATGTTTATTTCTAGAAAAACGAGATACAAAACAATGACTCAACTCAATGAACACTTTTTTTGTAAAATAACGCTTTAAACATTTGAATCAATTGGCATGATTTTTCGTATTATTTTTACACATTATTTATTTTGTCACTACTAAATCTTACTTTTTTCAAATAAATACTGTTAAAAAACGAAATACGCTCCTGTCACGATTCACACGTATCTGAGTTCGACCCTGGCTCGTTTAAAGCCATCAACTAATGATCAGCTGTGCGGCGCGCAGGAGGATGAAATCTGTGCGCGAGGAACGGAATTCTTACAGCACACTTGAAAAGCACCGACGTTCAGTGAAATTTCTGATTTGTATCTGTTCTGTGCTAATTATGTCATCAAAATCGGCCAAGCTTTTTCGGAGGAGTAAGGAAATAAAAACTGTGACGCGAAAATTTTCTACATATATTAGATTATGATTTGTTTAGAAAATTCTTCACACAAAACTAGTAGTGATGAGCAAATGAAAGACCAAGACCAAAATTGTCTTGGTCTTGACATTGCAGTCTAATAAATAGTCTTAATCTTGATCTTGCAAGGAAGCTTGGTCTTGGTTTTGTTGCAAGACTCTTGCAAGTCTTGCAACTTTTACTAGAGACACTTTCTACATGAAAATCTTTAAATAAATAGTATTTTAAGTAATTTAATTAGCAATTCTTCCTTAAGTTCTTCTGTTCTTCTCTGTTTGTAATAAATTAAATAAAAAAAAATGCAAGACCCCAAGACCGCAAGAGTCTTGCATGCTTGGTCTCGGTCGACCTGGTCTTGCAGATCAATGTCTAGTCTTGGTCTTGGCGTTGCTTTTTTTGCAAAACCAAGACTGCTCACCACTAAAAGCTAGCTACTTAACTTCTTTTCGCATACGAAAAAGATAGTATCAGCTATATTTTTTGTAGTGGAACTTCTTTAGGCGCGCTGGGAGTAAAAATTAAGGCCCGTGACAATCGTGACACACGAGCTAGTAGTAACGAAAAGTGGTAACGATCGAAAAAGTGGTAAGGACAGCCCAAGAAACAGCCTACGGCTTTGCTACGGGCACGGATAACACATCTATAGGCTTAGAAATACGCAGTGACGCGACGCGACGTGTATTTGTGAGCAGTTCACTATTTTAGTACAGATTATGTGCAAGTGAAATAAATTATCTATTATTTTTTATTTTACGCGTATAAAACTGTTACAGGCAAAAAACTATTTTTTACGTGTAAAAAACTATTTGTTACATGTAAAAAACTATTTCTTACGTGTAAAAAACTATATGTTACACGCAAAAAACTATTTTTTTACGCGTTAAAAAATATATTTTTAAATTAGTGCTTTTTCAATATTTGAAACTACACTTTTTCAAACATGTCTTTCAAATCCTTCAATTTAATGTGTTCACTTCAAATATGCGCACATAGCGCACGCACCATTTTATTTTAATCAGTTAAGCTTTGTTGATATTTATGTTTTATCCATTGTTTGATTTATGATAAAAATAATCGATTTTTGTACCGAAGTACTCATAATAAATATTTCACATTTATAATATATTATCAAAAAAGGTGTCCATTTCGCCATTGAAATACTAATTATTAATTTACGGAATTGCCAAATAAATAATTGTAAATCATATAGATATCTTTAAAATCTAACAGCAGGAAAAAATGTTCTATGGAATCAGATAGTTAATAATAACTCTTAACGTTTAATATTTTAAAATTCTTACCTTAAGCCTTGGTACATGGAAGAATGAACCGGTAATCCATATTCATCAATATTAGTCCGATCTGTATAATTCCAGGTACCACCAATATGTTCGGCTTGTTCGAAGGCTGTACACGTGTGGCCTTGATCAAGGCCATATTTTAAGGCTGCAAGGCCGGCAGCACCCGCCCCGATAATAGCAATTTTCATTTTAAAACCAAGAGCAAAATGTGTAAACGTGTATTATTAACTACAGAATTACAAAACTGCAGAGAACTGTCGAGTACAACGCTCCGGCTCCGCTGAAATCCCGTTGCGCTTTCCTGCCGACAGCCTGCTATAAAAATTATCTATGCCAGTTATGTCAGCCGATGCGTGCGGCGGCTATGGATTTACAAAGGTTAGATACGTTCTATTGTCGACTCTGTTTTTGTCCTTCAAGACTAGTTTGGAGATAATATTAATTGTCTTTGAGATATATAGGGTGATTGACGGTACGTTAGACGTTTATGGAGAACCAGTGATACATAGGATTTTTTTTTGAAAATTTTAATTTCTACATAAAGGCACTTGTTTCATCTATCTAAAATATTATCGGCGTTACAGTGTTGCCGGATCATTTGGAAAGTGGTAGTATCTTTGTTATATTTTAAAGGGGAATGTAGAATGTAAAATGTTTAGGAGGGGAGTTAATTTCCGCGACCTTACAGATCTATTGTGTGATCTATTGAGTTATAACGAGTTATAACTCATCATACAGTCTCAGTGTTTCTCTCTGGTTTTAACAAAAGACAGTATCTGAGAAGGTTCCACAGAGGCCAGTTCTCCATCCTCGACATCAGCCATACCAAAGTTTACAGAATAAAATATAAGTTCCGTCACTTGTGCCGGCGGCAGGTATCAAAAGCCGCTTCACGCACGTGTTTCCCAGTGTATTACTGGTGTGTGGACTTTGGACCCAGCATACACGGCGGATCACGTTCGGCGTATTACCACAGAACAGATACAAATTTGTATCTGTTCTGTGGTATTACTCTGATTTTGGCGTTATTACAGAGTGGTCTCGCATGCATATGGAATTATTTTTCAAGTGGTTATTTAATTTTCATTGCAAAGTGTTACTGATCACATTAGCCTTAGTTAATTATTTATTAGTTTGTTATAAAAAAAGCATAATTATTTTTATTATTTCTTAAAAATTTTTAAAAAAAGAGTTTTTCGCCACTGGAAAAAAATTATTTAAAATATCTAATTAGAATTATTCAAGAATACTTTATTTTTTTACACGAAAAATCATATACTGGGTGTGTCTCAAAAGTGGCTTATCCCTATAACTTTTATATTTTTTCAGATAAAAAACGAGATTTGGTGTGTTAGTATATGACCTAAATTAGGATTGATTAACGTTTTAAATTTTTTTCGGTCACTTCCGGTTTCACCGAAAATTACTACAACTTTTGATTTTTAAACGGCAACCTCGGCATTTTTCTACTTTCTATATATTCTACTCTGAATAGAATGATATATCATATGTCAACTTTTGGCATTCTAGCTTAAAAAAATCTTTTAAAATTTCAATATTGAGTGCCATAGCTCTTTTAAAAACAAAACTTTAATCGAGGGGTCCTGGGAAAAATAGATTTGATCGTCTAATGTTTTCCATATCTTGTCTTGGCCGGTTAAAAGATGCCCAAATGGTAATTTTAACCATATCTTAATTTTTTTCAAATGGAAAGAGGCTGGCTCATTAGTATATTTGGAAAAAGTATTTTTTTACGAATAAGCCACACAGTTGGTATTTCGAGTCAAATTGTCGTTATAAACCGCGTGTTACACTTTCAATAAATCATATGTGAAACTGTTAAAAGCTGACATATGATATGTCTTTCTACTCAGAGTATCATTTTCTATCGAATAACGTAAAAAAATACCGAGGATGCCATTTAAACATCAAAATTTGTTGACATTTAATAGTATCAGCTTTGAATTTTATAGTGTACGTAATTCGTGTTGGAAAACCATATTACGCACTCATGGAATACTGCACTCGTGCGTAATATTATTTTTTCCAAAACACTCGTTACGTAATATACTTTTACATTATTTACTGTTGATATTGTGTAGCTTTATTTTTTGTGTTTGTTTTTAAAATTTATTTTATTTTTGCTATATCTTTTTTATCTTGCCATGTCTAAATATTTATATGTAATACACCAATAAACTGATAGTATATTTTTTCTTTTGTAGATTTACCATTAGGTATTTTTGAAATACCCCACGTTCCCCTGCACCTTGTCGCACATTGCGATCAGTAAAAATTCGGCTTCTATTTACCCCGTCTTCCACTCCTGTTTTCATCGAAATCCGGCGTATCGGACGAGGCGGCTTCTGGCTTTTGATACGCGATTTTCAAAGTGCCGATGCTAAGTGACCGAACTTATATTTTATTCTGTAAACTTTGGCCATACCAAAGTTCATGGCACGAATAGTCGTCTTCTCGGCGCACTCAGTGATAAGGTGTTCTGGTGTTTCCATTTTTCCCATTTTCCCCACAGAATCTGCATTCGCCGTTGTTTTTCAGCTTCAGCCTACTAAGGTATTCGTTGAGGAGACAGTTGTCCTGTTAGAAACCCCGTCGCAATCCCAAGATTGTTTTTACTTAAATCAAGGAAAATCTTTGATTTTTCTCGGTCGTAAGTTCTGAGGAACGTTTTCGAGTGTCTTAGACCGTTGGAGGACACCCATTCCAAGTTACGGATGCAGTTAGTGGAGTGTTCGCTCCTTTCCTAGTTAGATCATTTGCTTTTTCATTGCCTTCTATCCCTTGGTGAGCAGGGACCCAGAGTAGGAGGACTTTATTTTCTTTGCCCAATTTGTTGAGCTTCTCTAGGCATTCTTTGACCAACTTCGAATTGATCGCGTATAGTGCTGCTTGACTATCGGATAGGATGGTATAGTAAATGCCACGAATGTTTGGGAGTGATTCATCGATCGCTACCATGTGAACTAATCTGTTCAAGGTCACATAAAACTTAATTCCAGTGCCGTGGTGTTTCAAGTCATATAATAACCAATGTATAATCTGTTGTAATTTGTTGTTTTAACTGTCAAAGTGGTGTCAAAACATATATTTTTGGATATAAATATAAACTGGAATGCCCCATTGGTCGCACTGCAAGCACACCAATGGACTGACGCACAAAAACGAATCAATCAAAGAAACGCGATATAGTATTTGTTGTTGATAATAGTCTTTGTCAATCACGCTAACATTATAGAATAAGTAGGAAGAGCGCATGCAGATGATTAGACCGGGCCTTTAAAAACCTACGTCTGCGGTAAAAATTTACGTTTTTAATGTAAAAATGATAGTGCGCGTGTCGATTTTAACTTCATCAAGCAATGAATCACTCCCAAACATTCGTGGCGTTTACTATAATTACCTGTTTTCGATAGTTCCTATCTAAGATAAATTGTACGCATCTTTCGATAGTTATGCTGAGTAAGCGTTTCTTCCTTCCAATGCTTTTTATTACTCAATACTACAGTGAGGTGTTTCTTAAAGTTAAATTCTTGGTATGTCATGCACTGGGAGTTGGAGAAGTGGAATTTTCTTTTTGAGGGTGTTCCAACCCCTAACCTGAAAATTCTCCCAGTACTGTTTCCGTCAATGACCATTCTAATCATTGTCGCAATGGCTACCGACGACAATGTGCAGTGGTGTTAGGTCTAGAATGACCTCTACTGCTGCTGTTGGACATGTTCTCATGGCACCTGTGATGCAGATACATGCCAGTTTCTGTACTTTGCACAGGTTTTGCCTTGCTGTACGTTGCTCTAGTTTAATATACCAAGCAACTGCTCCATTTTAAAAGGGAAACCCAGTATATTATTACATTTTCGGAAATAGCTCATTATTTTTCTGTTATACTAACCTATACCTATCTCTAGTTTTCGTGATAAACAATAAAATATGTGTAAAATGGATAAAAACATGATCTTGAATAAGCATTGGTAAAATCATGAATTGAACATCTTGTTGAAATTTGGGTTATACATTATTAACGAAAATTGATATATTCGGTCTGTCTAAATTAACCTATTAGATATTATACAGGAAGAGCAAAAAAATATTTATTTCCGTTTGTTATAAAACTTTAGTCAGTCTTTGATATTATAATATTCAACTCTACCGGGTGCGTCTCAAAAGTGGCTCACCTCTATAACTTTTTTATTTTTTCAGAGAAAACAACGAGATTTAATATGTTAGTGTATGACATAAATTAGGATTGTTTGACATATTCAATTGTTTTCGGTCACTTCCGGTTTTACCGGAAATGACTACAACTTTTGAAACAAGTTCCGTAAGTTTTTAAATAATATTCATAAGCTTAGATTCAAAATATCAATGATTTGAGCGATATTCAAGATCATGTTTTTGTTAATTATACACGTTTTATTTTTTTATCTCGCAAATTGTTAGAGATAGGTATAGGTTTGAATAATAGAAAAATTATGAAATATGAAAGTAGTTTCGAAAAAATGTAATAATATACCAGGTGTTCCATTTAAAATTTCAAAGATGCTACCACTTTTAGTATGGAGCGGCAATACTGTACCACTTAATAATTTAGTAAGTACTAACACTAATGTTATCTGTGGTATTAATTTAATTAAGTAATAATTACAATTAATTAAATAATAATCCTATCACCGATTCTTCATAAATGTCTTACCATGGCCGTTAATCACCCTGTATGTATTCGTTTTTAAGTTATAACAAATTTTATTGTTTTTGGATAACAGATTTAGGAAATTATAATGAACAGATTATACTTGGGTTCATCAGTTCGTAGGATTCTATAGAGGTCATTCATACATTTTGAAATTTCGATGTTTAAAATTAAGAAACAATATCTACAAATAATAGACGCTTTTAAAATAAAAAAGTCGATTAGTCCACTATAGAAAAAGCAGTTAATAATATATGTGAATGACGTTAATCGAATCATATTTTTGGGTAGAATAATTATTTGGGTTTGTCATATACAGGATGTTCAAAAAGCTACGCTACTTGAGTTATTTTACTATATTTTTATTTAGCATGACGTTATGGAATAAAAAGTAAAATAAACTATACTTTATTTGTCATATTTTACTACATTTTTTATATAAAAATGAAATATTTGAATAAAAAAACAATTCTAGCTCATAAAACTCAAATTAGATTTTTTCTCTACATTTTTAAGGGTTATTTGTGGGGTATTGGGACAACTATATTAAGAGAATCTGGTCCAGTTAGTGGAGTGTTCACTCCTTTTCTAGCTTTTTTTTTATTATTATTAGCAATCAGAATATTTGCAAGGAAATTCTATGGGCTAATTTGATGACTTGAGA